TGAAACCCATTGAGTGACCTTGGGCAAGTCACATGTTCTCAGCCTCAGGGGAAGGCAATGATAAATCTTCTCTAAACAAATCTTGCCAAGAAAACCCTGTGACAGAGTTGCCTTAGGGTCATTATAAGTCAGAAATTAGTTGAAGGCACACAACAACAAATTTTCACCCAACAGTCCAGACACAATGAGTCTCACCTCATCTGCCAAATCTTTTAAACCAATCAACCAACCAAAGGCTGAAAACTAGCCAAAACTGAACATGGAAGTGACATGATGTTTTTTCTTCTGCTGTATCAGGCTCAACAATACAGTCCTCATGGATGAAAAATGGCCCTTGCTTGCTCTGCAGTTACCCACCCCGTTATACTGTGTTTTATTTGAAAATTTGGGATTGCAGATGAATGGGTACAGAGCATTATGTTCCACATGCATAGTTCCATGCCTTTCTCCCTAAGAAAGCTATGAGACCCAAGAGGCATTGCTACAGATGTATACTCATCAGGGATGGGAGGAAGGAGAGAGGGAGCTAGAAAGTGTTTTTCCTGGCAGCAACAATTTCCCCTCTCCCCAAAGGAAACCCGCAACAAAACACAGCATCTGAAACAATGAAGTCCTGAATATCAGAATACAAGAAGTTAGAGGAAGCGAAGTCCTTAACCAATCTGTTAGCCAGTCAGGGTTTGAGCAATCAGAGTAGTCAAGAGTCAGGGGTTCAAATAAGCAGAATTGTCAGTTCAAATGTCCAATCCAGGAAATCTGGCAACAAGACAGGGTGCTTTCACCAGGGAAGTTAGTTAAGCTCTGACAAAGGTTCTGGCATCCTTCCCAGGCTTTTATCTCCAGGATTTCCTAGTGCAGCTGCTTACTAATTGCTTGGCTTTTCTCACAAAGCCTCCCAGAACAATGTAGCCCCATCCTTTATGATTTTGCTAGTTTTAAGAAGGCACAGTTAAGTTGGCCTCCTTCAATTCTTCACTGTCCAAGTTGTCAGGAGACTCTGCTACTTGAGTGCCAGGCTCCTGACTGTCCTCTTTGGCATCAGCCTCCATTGGCACAGGCAATGAGGAACTGGGACTAGGCTCAGGGTCAGGTTCCTCCCTCTCTCTCTCCTCTTCCGAATCCTAAGCTGGGCATGCCTCCAGGCTGGGCATGACACTTGGTACTTTTTAATTCCACAAGATATCTTGCTTTGAGCAAGGAGAGAAATGGAAAAAAATTAAATGTGGAAGGATGGCAGGGGAGGACACACACAACAAGGTTCTTCCATGAACTCCTCAAGAGGTCCAAGAGGATGATACCAAATTGCTGTGCATCCTGCTTTAGGAATGGAACTGGACAGTTTGCTGCCATTCCCCCCACTACTTTCTCTTAGCCAGTAAATAGCCATTGAGAATTGTGCTACATCAGGTAAAAGGTGGGATTTTGCTAATGGTGAAATTAAATGGCATCACTAAAGTTAGTGTCACCTGGTGAGGTAATTCATGGTGTCACCCCCACATTTATCTATTCCCATACTACAGCATACAAAGTCCTTACTAATGTTTCTGTACTAATATTACTTATAAATTGTAATTTCCAAATATCACTGAATATAATGGCAATAGCTGTAGCATAAATAGCAGCTTCATTTATATACTGCTTCATACCATGCTATGGAGAGTCTAAACAGTTTACAACTGTAAGCTCATTGACCGCCAAAGTTGGGTACTTGTTTTAACGACCTTGAAAGGATGCAGGCCTGAGTCAAGCCTGAGCCCTGGCTAGTATTGAACTCGCAACCTTGTGGTTTATGAGTGAGTGGCTGCAGTACAGGCATTTAACCATTACGCTACCAGGGCTCCTCTGACAAAATTAAAATTATACATTTAAATTACAATATCATAAACACAGCCTAGATGTTTTTACTTTTATATAGTTTCATGTGATTAAAGTGAAAATTTGATCTCATGTGATATTTTAAAATAAAAATTTAAAAGTAATTTAAAAACCCTAACAACTTGAGGCCTCTCCTTTCTCTACCCACTGAGCCTCACCCCACTCACCCCTTCTCTTACTTTGAGGTCCAGAATTGTAAAAGGATATGGGCGAATGCTACAGCCCATTTCTACCAAAATGCAGACATTTGGGGAGCAGTGGTGTCACTCCCCTTAGGGCAGGGGTAGGCAACCTTTCCCCTTTAAGGGCCGAGGGACTTCAGCTCCCAGAAGCCTCAGCCATGTTGGCCAATAGTCCCATGTTGGCCAATAGCTCCTGGGATTCTGGGAGCTGAAGTCCCTTGGCCCTTAAAGGGGAAAGGTTGCCTACCCCTGCCTTAGGGTGTCACCCGGTATGGCATGCACCCCCCTAGTGATGCTCCACCTTCGTTTCTCCTGATGGAACTTTGGAGTTAGATCTTCTTGATCTGCTAAATATTAAAGCAACAGGAGCTCTGTGCTGTATTCAGTCTGTCAACAATAGGACACCTCCCTGCCCAGCTGCTTTCTCCCACTCTTGCCTCTATCTCTCTCTATTCTCTCCCACCTCCACTGATTTCTCTATTGTCCATGTTGCTGTGGTTCAGCTCTGGTATCCTACCAGTAGCCTATGGTGTCTTGCAGACAGCCCTTCATCTCTTCACACAGATTACTGGTATCTCTCACTCTCTTGCTTTTCTGTGTATCTATTTGATGATGTTGTTTTGTCTTTTCTTTCTACCCTCTCTACTCCTGTGTGTGTTTCTGTTCTCATGTGATTCCTCCCCTTGTCCTTCCTGTGGGCATTGCTCTTTCTCCACTCCCTTTCTCTTGTTTTGCCTCATCTGTCATACATCCATTTCCATTCCCCATTCTGCATAGTTTGGTCTACCTTTCCTATGTACACCTCTGCATCATGAAGCACTGACTTTCTCTTCCTGTTCCTCCCTCTCTCACACCTGTTCTTTGGTGCTTGTTATTGTGTTTGTCAGTTTCTGGCACCCACAATGTAATGAAAACTCCTGTGAGGATGACAGCAAGGGCAGGGGAAACAACATGGTAGACAACCTTCACCCATATACCTTACTGTCCCCTGCAAAATGCCCTCAAGTTTACATTGGGGAGAAGAGGTACTTTACTTTCTGGTTTAAGGTGCTTTTTAAAAATGTATTTCAATATAACTTAGACCAACATATCCTGCATTGGCTGGTCTTCCTTTCCTACTCAGATCTCAGCATCACAATAGTTTCTGATTTCATCTCCCATATTATGCTGGGTTTGCTCCTAATACTATGTAGGCCTTTTTCTGTTGAGTAGATATTGTCAAGGATAATTGGTGAATTAGGGTCTAAGTATGCATATGACTTAGCTTTTTACAATGTCAAAACTAGCTAATGAAAATCAATTACATTATCAACAAAGTTATCATTGAGTTGAATCCAAAGGATTGAATTAATTAAAATTGAGAGCCAGCATGGTGTTGAGGTTTGAGCATCAGACTGTGATTCTTGAGACTAGAGTTTGAAATCCAACTTGGCCATGGAAACCCACTGGGTGACCTTGGGTACATTATACTCTCTCAGCCTCAGAGGAAGGCAAAGGCAAATCTTAACTGAACAAATATTGCCAAGATAGTTTTGCCCATCAGCCCAACAATTTATAGCATTCAGATGTTTCTTTAAACATCAACTGAAATAGCAAAGTGAATAAGTAACTTATTAACATTGTAGTTATAATGGCAACTAATTGTTTTAGGCCTTTGACTCATTATCATCCAAAGGCAGCATTACAAGCTTTGATCCTCACATTATGGAGAAAACATTTGGAGCCATTGTTAAACCACAAGTGGCAGATTGAAGCTATATTTATTTAAGTGTTTGTAAACTGCTCTTCATTAAATAGATACCAGAGAAGACCAAAGAAGACCAAAATGGGCACCTATCATAAAATATTAGAAAAATACAATGTAAAACATTTTTAAAAGGCAGCCGTAGTAATAACATTAATTCACTTCCCATACATTTTTGCTTCCTCCTACCAAACTGTGGGCTCAGGTTTTGTATTGAGATCAAGCTGCGGAGGCTTTATTACAGTAAAAGGCAGCATTTCTGTACTTTTATTAACACTTCCTTCCTAGGGCAATGAAGATGTTCATAACTGGATGTTTACTGTCTTCATTTTGAGAAAACAAAACAACTATAAAAAGGCTTTGTTGGAAATAAAACCAATTTGACACCACAAAAGGTTTCTCAGAAGTATTGTGAAAAGGTGGGATTCTTTTTTTTAGAGGGAGGTGTCCATAAAAAGAGGGGATTGTTAAAACTCTGCATTATAACTAACACAGTTTATTGCAGAGCGAGCAAATATGCAATTTTTTTAAATCTAGCTTTTCCATGAATTTGAAGACAACTAAGAATATAAAAAAGAATGGAGATAGTATAGAGCAGTAAAACTCTACATTTTAACACTGAACCAGAAACATATATTTCCTGCTTTTCAAAGCCATGAAGCAAAGGCTACTATCTAATTGCCCCATTAGAGCTGGCCACTCTCCTTTCCCCCATATGTCTGGTATAGACAGATAATTACAGTAAGGCAGTGAAGGCACTCTGTGTTTAAGTCCAAACTTTAAAAGAACTTTCCAAGATGTGAACTTACTTTGGGGGATTGCAGACTGCCAGAAATAGTGCAAATTGAGTCCACTTTTAGGGTTAGGGTTAGGGTTAGGGAATCATGAGAACTGTATTTTATTGTGGCACCAGAGCTCTCTGACAGAGGAGGCTCAATGTCTCAGAAAAAAACCAATTCCCATGATTCCCTAGCACCAACCCTAACCCTAAAAGTGGACTCAATTTGCATTATTTCTGGCAGTCTGCAACCTTTGAGAATAAGGTTCAGCACCTTGGAGAGTTGTTGCACTTGTGTGTGTTCAAGTCATTTCTGACTTATGATGACCTTAAGGTGAGCCTATCATGGGGTTTTCTTGGCAAAATTTGTTCAGGGGAAGTTTGCCATTGCCTTCCCTTGAGGATGAGAGAGTGTGACTTCCCCAAGTTTGGGGAACTGAACCCTGGTCTTCAGACTCATAGTCTGAAACTTAAACCATTATGCCACACTCGCTCTCTAGTATGAATTAGAGCAGACTTATTTAATCAATGGGATTTACATAAGTGCTGACCCATTGATATTGATGCTACCAGCCCCCCATGTGTACATCATATGGTTGCTGCCTGCCCCTTTTTGCTTGGATCAAATATATTAATAAATGCAGTTTTTTAAAAAACAAAACAAAAAAAAAAAAACAAAACAGAAAGCATGCAGTTCTCCACTGCTGCATCTAGATGTGCATATCTATTGGCACTTTCACAGTTCACACCACACACTTATTGCTGTAATTCCACTTTAATTGCCACAAATCCATCCTATGGAATCCTGAGGTTTGTGGTTTGGTGAGGCATTAGAACTCTATGGTTAAGAATTCTAAATACCCCCCCACCCCCCAATTGCAAATCTCAGGATTTCATAGGATGTTACCATGGCATTAGTGCTACAATTGTATTGTATGAAAGGGTCCTACTTGTGATGAATATATTCATCAGAAGCAAGAAGGATTATCTTGATATTAACTGGATGATTAAGAGCACAGGCCCCCAAACTGGCAATTATTTGTTCCCCTTTCCAAACTTTCTCATGCAGCATAAGCTTTGAGGCTCTTAGGAAGGGATCAATGAAGTCAAAGGCCTTCAAGAAGTGCACCCCCCCC